AAACGTCAGCTTTCCTGCTCCTCTGATGCGGCTTGGCCTGCTGTATTCATCCAGCTCTACACCTTGTTATCGCTGCAAATACTCTTGCCAGCTGATCTGCCCAGGGGTCTGAGTGCACGACCAGGGACTCCATCGCCAGTCACTTTCTGTGGGTTCACCCTTAAGAAGGTCAATCTAACATCTGCGGCAGTGACCAAGGGTACAAGTGCGGCCAGGCATGTTGGGATATGTGATATTGTTTCACTGCCATTTTGGTCAAAGTGAACGTAGAACTCGTTGGGTAGGGATGTCTGCCCACGACTCTGTTCGACTTCACTTTGTAGCCCATCATGTCATGTAAGCCTTGCCACAAACAACAGGTGTCCTTATGGTTGGCCTGGGTCTCAAGATTAGTTTTGGTATTGCCTCTTAGCGTCACTGATGGCCTTGCAAAGGTCTTACCTGGATTTCTTGACTTGTTCATCTCAGACCTGGACTTCAGTAGGGAGTGGATCTTCTGTTTCATCCTTGGTTTCCAGTCATCTACACACTTATAAATGAAGTCTGTAATGGTAGTGACATGCTCATTTAGGTTGGCCACTGAGTTCTTGAACATGGGCAAGTCCACCAACTCTAAGCAGTTCCTTAGAAGCCCATCAGTTTCCTCAGACCAACATTGCACTACTATCTGTGACTAGGTCCTCAAGTTTCAATTTCTGCTTGTAAGCCGGGAGGAGGATCGTAGCATTGTGGTCTGATTTTCCAAAATATGGATGGGGGATGGAGCAGCAGGCATCTTTTATGGTTGTGCAACAACGGCCAAGGATGTTCAGACACTGATGGGACAGCAGACATATTGGTAGAATTTTGGTAGCACATTCTTGAGGTTGGCCTGGTTGAAGTCACCAGCTATGATGAACAAGGCTTTGGGGTATTCCGTTTCGAGACTGTTTGTTTGTAGCATTGTATACTTCATTAAGTACACTCTTCACTTCTGCATGAGGTGGGATGTAGACTGCTGTCGGGAATTGTGAATTGGTGTTAATTTAGATAGGAGAGTTATAGAAAAAACAATCGATAAATAAGGAGAGTTGTAAACCTTAAGGTTAGAAAGAGAGTGGATAACAGGTTGTTTGGTCAGACTACAATCAATTTTTCCAAACAGCTTCAGTGACACTGTCCAAGTAATATATGTGAAACAGTCACTAAATATATTGGTGCAGTGGCTGTTTAAAGTTACTCAAACCGCTGACCATGTATCCTTGTCTCTGCAAGTGAATTATTTTAGTTAATTTAAGAAAGTTGCATTGCCCCTGAAATGATAACTGCTTGCAAAGAGGATTTCTGGTTGCATGACACTTGGTTGCTGAGTCTGTGCAGTGGCTGCTGTGTGTAGCACTTTCCTATCAGATTTGTGCAGTGCTGAGATGTCGTTTTCTTCCCGGGGCAGATGTTTAGCAGCATCGCCTGTAATGTGAGCATCAACCGGAATATACTGACACCTCTTCCACAATTTCACAGGATTTCTCTCCATTGTAAATAGCCTGGCTGCTTAATCACTCTAATCATGGAGATTTGCATCAACACTTGTAATTGCATAAAGGAAAATTAGTCCTAAATTATAGTGTGTGGTAGGGCTATATTTAGAGAGTATGCTTTTTATATAACACTGCAGTGATTCAGTTGTGCTGGAACAAAGGCACTGGACACTGAGGCACAGCCAAAACCCTAATGCATTGAAAGTACTGGTATTAATTGTATACACTGTTGTTGTAACCACATTGCTCTAATTGCTAAAATTCTTATGCATGCAAACCTGTCTGTTTTTCCCTTTAATTTCTTATGATCACATTTATATTGGAAACTGGGCAAACCTGTTACACTGTAGTTATATCCTCCTGTCAGTGGCAGCACTTCCAGTGGTGGGTTGTTGAAATTGTAGGTTGCTAAGTTTGCTTTCAAGGTATTCGTTATAACATGGAGTATGAAATTTAAGAGTTTATGTATGAATTCTGACGTGCGTGATTTAGATCTGTGCACCCTGATCTAATTACCCCTACTTCAACAAAGAATTACACTTAATTGAATCTTCTTGTATGCTGATATACTAATATTAATGGAAATATATGCACTTGTGTTAATGTAACCATACATGTGAATGTTAATGCAACTATTCATGAGTATTAATATAATAGAGAATTTTGAACATGCCAATTATGCAAATTGTACTGGTGAGGACAAAACTAATGTAGAATATTACTTTGTATCGGTCTTCACTCAGGCTGATAGATCAAATTTTAAGCCAAGGTCCTGCTGCTCCCACTGGTGAATGTAAAGGATTGTATGCCACGTTTAGAAGAAGAGCAAGGGAGTTATTCCAATTTCCTAGCCAATATTTATCCTTCACTTCAATGTCACTTTAAAAACAATCACTGGATTGTTTTTTTGTTGAAACCTTGCCATGCATAGATTGGTAAGCCACATCTCTTGCGTTACAATGGTGGCAACAACTCAAAAGTATCTAATTATCTATAAAGCATTTCAGGGTTTACCCCCAGTGTGTCTTAAGTGCACATCTTTCTTTAAAAGCACTTTGGGAAGGAGGTGCAAGAATCGGAATACTCAAAAGAGCGTACAGCTGAGGTCAGTGCCTCTATTCAATTTGACAATAGGAAGGCCACCTTTTAGGAAAACATATCTACTTCCAATTTTTTTATTCTTGTGACTTTTTTTAACAACAGAAACTGGCTGCACATTCCGGTATGGATTATGCTATTATGACAGGTGGTGATGTGGCTCCTATGGGTCGTGAGGGTGTCACGGCCATGCACAAAGTCTTTGACTGGGCATCCACCAGCAGGAGAGGGTGAGTTTGTCATTTTGATTTGGGAGTGTATGAATGTTAGTATGTTAAAGGATGTGTTAATTGCATGTGAATGATGTTGGAGGGAGTATACTGCCTGAAATCTTCTCAATGCCGTAAGGTGCTTGGTTGGTTGCTTTGTACGCAGTGACCTTACAGACTCCGCTACTTTCCACTTAATTTTTATCTGATCTTGATTGGAGATGGATGTTGCTGCTAAGAATCTGCAATACTTGTTTCACGTCATGTTTGCTTCTGGGTTAGATGTAGAATACAAGTAGCCATGTGACCCCCCCCACCAAAAAAAAACGCACGCACCCATCCGCCCACCCCTCACCACTGATGTTGAGGTTTCGCTTTCCCATGCAAGACCTGTGATGTGATAGGAATGTTGCTATGGCAGGGGTCGTGTATCTGTGGCTGTACAAATTTTGGCTGAGATTGCCCAAGCTCATTCCATGTAGCACTCTTGCAACTATCATTCAACAGAGACTTTCATCTGAAACTGAATTTGCCATTTGGTTCATTTGCACCAATGTGCTCACAAATGTGGGTGCCACTTACTGTTTGTTTCCTGGGAGTCCTTTATTCTTGGATCCATGTTCCGAGTGTCAGCACTGTAGGATAATGAGAATTAATTATTTTGGGCTTCTAGGTTTAAATATTTCGTAATGTTTATCTGAAGTCAACGGAATGATCATAAATTGCCTCCTGTGCACAGGCTTTTGCTGTTTGTGGATGAGGCGGACGCGTTCCTTCGAAAGAGAGCAACAGTAAGTGCCCGTGTCATTTATGAAAACTTTATAAATAGAAAGTGTTGCTTGTTTCATGGTCCTGATTAATTTGTGAGCATTTAAAACAAACCCAGTTTTTGTTCCAACCTTTTCTTACCCCCCTCCATCTTGATTTCATAAAATCCCTACAGTGTGGAAACAGGCCCTTCGGCCCAACAAGTCCACACTGACCGTCAGAGCACCCACCTAATCTACACATCCCTGAACACTACGGGCAATTTAGCATGGCCAATCACCTAACCTGCACATCTTTGGACTGTGGGAGGACCCGGAGGAAACCCACGCAAGCACGGGGTGAATGTGCAAACTCCACACAGACAGTTACCCGAGGGTGTAATTGAACCTGGCACTGTGAGGCAGCAGTGCTAACCACTGAGCCACCGTGCCGCCCTCTGTACTCACTAGAGTTTAGAAGAATGATAGGTGATCTCATTGAAACTTATCAGATTCCTAAGGGGCTTGACAGGGTAAATGCTGAGAGAGTGTGTTTCCCCTGTAGGACTAGAGGGTGCAGTCTCAGAATTAAGGGGTTCCAATTTAAGACTGAGATGTGGAATGTCTTTTCTCAATCTGTGTCACAGAGCCGTGAGGGCAAAGTCATTGTGTACGTTTAAGACTGAGATTTTTGATCAGTAGGGGAAATTGTAGGAGTTGGGACGTCATGTTGCAGCTGTACAGAAAGATGGTCGGGTCACTTTTGGAGTACAGTGTACAATTCTGGTTGTCCTGCTATAGGAAGGATATTATTTAATTGGAAAGGATGCAGAAAGGGTTTACAGGCAAGTTACCAGGACTGGAGGGTTTGAGTTACAAGGAAAGGCTGAATAGGCTGAGGCTTTTCTCCTTGGATCATAGGAGGTTGAGGGGTAACCTTATTAGAGGTTTATAAAAGCATTTATCAGGTAAATAGCAATGGTGTTTTCTCTAGGGTAGGGGAGTTCAAAACTAGAGACCATAATTTTAAGGTGAGAGGGGTGAGATTTAAAGGGGACCTGAGGGACGGCATTTTCACATGAGTGGATCATGTGTGGAATAAACTGCCAGAGGAAGTGGTGGATGCAGGTACAATTTTAACATTTAAAAGACATTTGGACAAGGATATGGATCTGAAAGATTTAGAGGGCTATGGACCAAATGCTGGCAAATGGGGCTAGTTTAGTTTGGGAAAACTGGTCTGCATGGATGACCTGGACCAAAGGGTCTGCTCAGTGTGACTCCAAGTGGATACGAGGAATGTTGGATCAGTAATGATCCAATCAAATGGCAGAACAGACTCGAGGGGTTGAACAGCCTATTCCTATTCTTATTTCTTCTGGTCTTAGCATGCACAAGCTGGTTTACTTCTAGTCTCCTCCATTAATCATTGGAAATACACTGGGGAAAAATGTCATTCCTGGATATGTTCCTCTTAAGCTTGAGTTTGGAATATTTGGCTCAGTATAGTGATTTTTGTGTCTGAGCTACTGCTCCTTCTGCTTCGCATCTTGGTTTTGAAATTTTTTTTTTTGAAGTAATAACATTTTGCTGCTTTTCTTTTTCTCAGCCTCTGCTCTGAGCCCTGTTGGGAGCAGCAATGTAGCCCCTTCATCTGCTGCTTTAGAATTGATTGGTTTTCAGTGGTAATGAATTTCACTGCTTGGAGGAAGAAATTGAGCATTACACAGATTAATAATAATAAAGGCACTAGAGAAGAATTAATGTAATTGCGCCCCAGAACTGACTAACTACGTCCACGTTCTATCCTTGTGATCTAGATCAGAGGATGCACTGCAAGCTCAATTGTACTTTTATCTGGGTTAAAACTGGGAAATGTATTACAGTTTTCAACAGCTGCTAATTGTTGCTTATGAAATGGAATATATTTTCTTTCTAACTTGATCTGCTTTTGTAGGAAAAAATTAGCGAAGACCTGAGAGCAACCTTGAATGCATTCCTGTACCGGACAGGGGAGCAGAGTAACAAGTAGGTATTAACCTCAAAATCAGAAGATAATAGGTCATTTGGGAGCCGAAGGACGCAGTTGGACCCTTCATCACAAGATGCCTGTATAACAATTGGACTTAACTGAAATTTTTTGCGTGAGCTGCACTAATAGTGTGGGCAGAGGGCACAAATTAGACGGGCATTGGAAGTAATGTTGAACCTTATAATCTTTGTATGGGTATAGGTGTAGATACAGCCCGCCTCCTAACTGGCAAGACAGGCTTAAGTGGTCTTTTTTTAACAACTGGTGTTGCACACAGCATGTTACATATAGTGCTGGGCATTATAGTTTAAACTGATAGTGCATTTTAAAAATGAAAACCATTTCCAGTCACAGCCTAGATCATTGGAAGTTTTTATCTTAGTCCTGAACCAAAATAATTTATTTGTATTCTTCAACAATATCTCCATTTTGTGGAAGAATTAGATCCTGTGAATATAATAATTTTTAACATATCAACTTTACCAAGGTGACATTTTACTTGTGTAAAGAATAGACTGCAGCAATCTGAGTCCATCATCTATATTTGGTGAGAAATTTTGTTGATTAACCAGTTCAGTTCTATCTTTGATTTTCTGTTTCTTAAAAAAAAGACATCTAGTGGTGTCGCATCCTAGTGCTGTACACAGTATCTATAATTGCTGAATAAATTTGTGGTTCTTGGCCATGTGCTTTTATGATTATTAACTGAGGTCTGAGTGCTAACGCACTTATCAGTTGGAAGCCTTATCAGCGCTTTCCAGATAACCTCTGTCACACTTCCTACTTTTTGATCAACTCCCAGCCTGTTGAGACTGTGTGTTTTTATTTTTAAAAATGGTTGAAGGAAAAATTGTTCTCTAATGAGAAGACTATTACAGTTCAACTGAAAGGAATGAGGTGATTGATAAGCAGCAGCTCATAATTTCAATTTGAAAGATATTTTCTATTTTAAGATTAGTTCTTAGTTGATGTGATTCCTTATCTGTTTTATGAATCGTCTTACTTTATATCTGTAAAATAGCTGCAATCCTGTGGTTCTGCACATGAGATTCTCATTAAGATTTTGAAGCAAGAAAGTGAGAAGGAAATGGCAGTTTTGTTTTGTTCAAAGCCCAAAGAAAATATGCTTTTTTTTTTGCCAGGTATGAATCTGAAGCCCCACATTTGTTGTAAAACATTTCTGGCTATAATTTCATTTTCTTTGTTTTTGTTTTGAAATATAGTAAAAGATGGTAATGCTGGTTGTCTCAAGTGAGTTAAGTCCAGTTTAGGGTGCAGTCTTTTTCTGTTTTTTTTTCCTGTGCCTTCTACTTCTGCACTTCTTTTGATTTTCCTAAAGTCATCACACTCCAGAGATTTCCCCCAGATCAAGTTACTTTATGCTGTTATTTAGCAATTATGGTTCAAACATAAATATTGACTAAATAGTCAAATTTCATTTTTAAAAACCCACAGAAACATAATTAGGTTTCCACTTGCAGTTTAAATTCAATCTGCTGACTGGAAACTTGAAGTTAGGGTTTGCAAGGACAGTTTGAAATACAACTGTGGGGATGTGGGACAAGGGAGATTAGCAAATTGCAGAGGTTGTTGCCATCTATTTACATAAAATGATCAGGCTTTTTTTACAAGGCTTACATGTACATGTGCACATCTATAGTTTTCTAAACACAAGGGTTAGAAACAGTGAAATTGCACGGTATTCGTTCTGTAATACACCTCACAACTTTGAAGTGAAACTGAGCTGTCCACTGTTATCAGTGTGCGCATAAATTCACGAAATTGAATCTTGAAATAAAAAGTGCATGATGGGTGTTCAGTTTCTCTAGGACAGGTCATGGTGATGCATTAAACAGTGCATTAGTTGTGATTGTAAATGATGATTAAACGGTACATATCTCATTTCCTTGTCAAAAATACGGTGAAAAATACTGTTTATTTTTCCCCCCAGCCTTGAAAGAAATGATGAGAATGTGGTGTGGCTTAAAAACCATTCACCAAAAAGACGGGGGAGTGGTGGTGTTTGGTGGACTTCTAGGGAGTAGAAACACTAGACTATACCTGTTGGCAACTAAGCAAAATCAAAATCACTTGCAACATTCTGAGAGAAGGTCAGCACTGACCCTCCAATGAAATGTTCACAATCTGTAAAAAGATATGAATGCACGGAATGATGCAAAGGACCAAGACCCTAGTGTAGAACTTGTATTCCTTCACCACTTTCTTTGAAAGTAAGAGCAATAAATCTGTCCTTCGCAGCATCATTCGTACCTGGAGTTTTGAGAAAAATATACACCACTAAAATCAGTCCAGAAAGTAATAATACTGAGACTTCAGATAGCACCAGGAACGTATCAATCCAGATTTACCAGTGGATTGTTAATTCAATGCTCTGTGCTTGAGAGATCACTCGGAGAAACCAGTGACTGTTTGTACTATTGCAGTCTGTCAAGTTAATTATTTAAACTCTATTTGAGTAGCATTCTTCCCAAGTGTAATTAATTGCTTAATGGTGACTTTGATTTTCAAGACGTGGATTTTGTTCTCTGTTGCAGAATCTTAACTCCTACGCAGGTTGCAGGAGTTCTGTTAAATTAAGGTCCTCAATAGCTGGGGGTGTTGACTTTCTGCTGTAGTGATATTCTCCTTGATTGAGATCAGATCTATTAAGTACGTACAAAGCTGTTCCTGCAGTGAGTCAGCAACTCTATCTACTGTGCAGTTGTGTCGCACAGATCAGGGTGGTGTCTGGCAATGCACTGTTGCATTGACTTCTCTAGCCTCTGTTAGGGCAGAGGTGGAGGCAGTACAATCAGCTGTCAGGTGAAAACAGACCCATGACTGATCACTGATCAGTAACCCCTGCTAGAAGCGTGAGTTTAGATTGACTTCTGCTGTGATGCCCCTCGTTCGGAGAACTGTCATTATTGACTCGGCTTGCAGTTGGAAGTTGCCCTTTTGAATTAGTACTGGAAGGTGATTGGTGCCTGTGCAACCATAACCCTATCAGCAAACGTTACTTTCAGGAAAAAAAACGCTGACAGTGCACATCAAACAAATTTAATGATATTTCTTATCATGAAAAGCGTTCACTTGCCAGGATTCCAAGTTGTGTCTCCGTGTCAGCGTGCAGTAGAAAATATTTACACCTAAAATCGGAACATTAATGTTTTGTTGTATGCCATGTAATTGATTCCTTCAAATTTACATCATTAGCTTTGATAGAACCAACGCTCTACCTATACCTCAAAGACCTCTCTCTTCAAAAAGCAACGTAAGTGTCAAAGAATATCTATAATTATGCCCCTGAGTATTTTCATAGTTAAAGAGGGCAAAATATGAATTTCACATATCCACCATTACACTTTTCAGAATTCCTAGAAGCACAGAATTATTTTTAAACGTTCCTACACAAAGTGACTTTAGGGTAAATTTTCCTGGAAGCTGTTTTTACTGTACCCAAACTCTCATCACCTGAGGATCAGTAACAAATATCTGCGATGGGAGAGTTTCTGGTTAATCAAGCCAGGGCACATCTGTTGTCCGTCCTTGTATCTCTTCTACATTCCATCCTCCTTTAGTATCTTAATATTTGCAGCACATACCAGCTGTTTTCAACTCCATGTACAACCACTTGCACAAATCCACACATCTGACTATTATTATGAATTTGTTTGCTGTAGAAATGATTGAGGTAAAGGATGAATTTGAACCTAGTCTGGGCTCATCAATTTAAGGAAACAAATACGAGGAACATCATGAATTGAGATGAGTAATGATTGCCATGTTTAATGTTTTGCAACAGAACATGTTGCAATGTGCAGCTCATCATACACTTCTGTGACGTACTGGCCACTTGACTCATTACAGCTCATCTGTTTTTCCTAACAGGTTTATGCTGGTGTTGGCTAGCAATCAACCAGAGCAGTTTGACTGGGCCATCAATGATCGTATTGATGAAATTGTTAACTTCGATCTGCCAGGACTAGAAGAGAGGGAGCGACTGGTCAGGCTATATTTTGACAAATATGTCCTGAAACCGGCCACAGAGGGAAAACAGTATGTACTCTTATTTACTTCTAGTGTTTGGCAGTTGTTAGAACATCTTGCTGTCATTTTGCTAATTTTAATTGCCTTATTTCCAGAAATTTCTTTTTATCCTTTATTGCTCCCACTTTAACCGGACTCCCTTCAAGTAACCGACCTGCATTGTATTCGATGCCGACAAAACACCATGGATGCTGGAAAACACAGAGAATGCCAGAGAAACTCCGGTCTGGCAGCAATTCTGGAGTGAAACAGAGTTACTGTTTTCAAGTTCGCTATGAATAGGCAGTTCCGAAGAAGTCGTACCAGACTCAAAACATTAACTCTGTTTCTCTGTCCATAGATGCTGCCAGACCTGCTGAGTTTCTCCAGCGTTCTCCGCATTGTGTTAATGTTGTGACTGGGCTGGCAATTGACGTTGCTTCGAATGAGCAGCATCAGGATGTGCAGATCAGCAGGTCAGCCAGCATTTTCTGTGTCTCGCTCTCCCCAGAAGCCAGGTTCAAATTAGAACTCATGTGAAATTTATCGTGGGCTGCATCTATTAGAGATGGGTGTCCAGTTTCATGATTTACTGAAGATTTATCCGTTTAATCTGAATTCAGAACAGAACACAAAGCCACATGCTTTCTGCTTGTCCCTTTTCTATCTGAAGCATGTTTTGTTTAAATGCTTTTGAAATTTTTTTAAGTCCCGAACATGATGGGCAATAGCCAATGTTGGTGATGGCCAGCAAGGAACTTCCCAGCGTTGAGCAAAAAGTCCTAGTTTCTGACCAAATGTTGAATGGTGAGACGAGATTATCACGAGCGAGTGGTGACAGGCCTCTTTGTATGCATTAGAATCGTTACTATGATATCATCCTTCCTCATTGATAGTTTCCCATTCAAGTTAGAGCGGTAACCTGGCAACTCCAGCTCGCTGCTTGCTTCTCCTGCCCTCCATTAGGCACCACCGTCTCTACTTGCACTTCTCTACTTGGACGGCAACTGGCAGCCAGTTTCCCTCTGCCCAAATGACACGAGATGTGCAGGGCAGTTGCAGACTACTTGTGATTGACTGGGTGTACGCTGGGCTTTAAAGATGTTGCCAGGAATCCACTGGTGGCCAATACTGTGGTGATTGGATGTCAGACAGGCGCATGCATGGGTAATAGAGTGAGTATGGGAAAGTGGCAGGAAAAACCTTGCATGGGCTTATGGAGAGCAACCCTCCATGAAACTCACCAAAAGTAACAGCCAATTTCTGGTAAACCTTACCCCTTGAAATCTCTGCCTAGATAAAGAATATGATGATTTATAATCAGGTTGGCATTGGGAGCTTTGCAGTAAGTGTGGGTGGAGTGTCAGAGCTGGCCTTGATCAATAACAGTGGCAAACGTCCGAGCAAAGCACGTAGACGTTTCAGCCAACTTTCTTGAATATTCATCCTTTTTAAAATTGTGCCTTAGGTTTTATCCTATTGGGCAACAACACTTTTTTAATTTTATAAAAACACAGCAATCATATTTGTGAAAATAAATCATTCTGTTTACAAACTATTTTATCTAAATATTGGTTTTGTACAATCAGATAAATTGACTTGGAGCCTAGACTGATGCTGTGATCCAGTGTATTTGCTGATCGTCTGTCTGAATTCAGTTTCCTTACCGTAGCTCCTATTAAGCCTGTTATGGGTTGTTCCTGTTAAAGTAATACCGGAAAGAATGAACTTTGTTTAAAAGGCTGAAGGCACTGTAGAATGGGAGTCTCTGCACCCAGCTCTTGAAACCACTGCTGTGACCCAAAGTGTAGGATTCAGTGAAGCGCTTGTGCTTATGATTTCACTAGAATATGTTACCAAATATCCAGCTACTCAGTTGACCAGTATAGAATTTGCATTCAATACACACAAAATCACAACTTCCTTGTAATATGTACTGTTAAAGGATCCAGGCTGTGGTTGTCAAAAGAATAAAGGGTCTTTCATTTTATCAATTTAATATAGATTTCAGTGAGTCCCAGGGTAGTACATCATCTCAGTGGGTCAGATGTCTTTTGCAGGAAGTTTGAAAATGTTGGCAGAAGCTTGACATTGAGTTATTGGCTTAACTTGATGTAAACTCTCTGGCAGACACAATCTCTTTCTGTATAACATTAGTGAATTTAGTCCATTCTGTTTATTTCCTTGTACAAATGGCACTTCTTGGCAGCAGATAAGATGATGAGACTTGGACAATAAAATGAGACTGTCACCCATTCAGGTAGACAGATAAACACCTTGGTCTTATTTGAAGAGAAGGGTGGCATTTCTCCTTGTGCCCTGACCAGCCTTTGTTCCTTAATCATTATAAAGAAAACAGATGAACTGATTATTCATTTCATTACTATTTGCGGGACTACCTTGTGCACCAATTTTCCGATGTATTGCCCCACATTGCAGCATTTCTTAAGGTATTGTACTGGCCCTGAAGAGTTTTAGGATAGCTTGATGGTACAATAAGTACTTTATAAATGAGTTGTTCTTAATATAGAGTGTGGTCACTGGATTAAAGTTTTCTGTTCAGACACACAAACTGTATCAAAAACAGAAGTTGCTGGAAAAGTTCAGCAGGTCTGGGCAGCATCTGTGAAGAAAAAAATCAGTTAACATTTTGGGTCTGGTGACCCTTCTTGAGAACTGGAGTTCTGAGGAAGGGTTACTGGACCCAAAATGTTAACTGATTTTTTTTCTTCACAGATGCTGCGCCGACCTGCTGAGCTTTTGCAGCAACTTCTGTTTTTGTTTCTGATTTGTAGCATCCACAGTTCTTTTGGTTTTTATATGAACTGTATCCTTTGGCTAGAGGTATTTTGTCCCAATATCTAATTTTAAACCCAAGCTAGAAGATCACAGGACACGTGAGCATGAGAAATCAAACCTGCCCCAGCATTCAATAAGATCATGGCAGATAATTTCAACTCCTGTTTCATGCCAGCTGCTAAGGACGACTCTAGTTCAAAAATCTGTGTCCTCTTTTAATACATTCAGTATTTGACCTCCGCACCTCTCCGGAGTAGAGAATTTCGGGCATTCACTATCCTCTGACAGAAGCAATTCCTTTGCATCTCGGTTTTAAATGTGACCCCCTTATTCTGTAATGCTTTCCTCTAGTTCGATTGACCCACAAGCAGAAACATCTTCTCAACATCTATTCTGTCAAGCCCCCACAGAATCAATAAAAACATGTTCCTTGAATTGACACTGACCCCAAACAATTCCTTTAAAACCCAGTTTACATCCCTGCAATTTATACGATTCATCAGGGAGTTTGTGTAATGTTAAATATTGCCAAGCCATAATGTTCACATGTCAGGAAGTAAAAGTTTAACCTAGAGAGGCTAATTGGACGTGGACATGTCAATTACAGCACTTGGTGATCATAATCTTGTCCTGTTTCACAGGCGCCTGAAAGTGGCACAGTTTGACTATGGCAAGAAATGCTCTGAGCTTGCTAGAGTGACTGAAGGGATGTCGGGCAGAGAGATTTCCAAACTTGGAGTAGCCTGGCAGGTATGGCTTTTATTTCCATTCTCAGTGTCATTTGAATGGTTAACTCCTGGAAAAAAAGTCGTGCAAACCAACTGCAGCAGGATCAGGAAAGAGATGTGAAAGTGGTTTATTCTCAGTAAATAACATGAATGTTTCCCTTCCCTCAGGGCTGGAAATTTTGTGCAGATTTTCAATGAATCTCTCTTTGACTTTTGTTGGTCAAGCCCTCGGATCCAAATAGTGACATTCTCTGTTTTTTTGGGGGTGAGCAAACAACTAGAGAAATGTCTTATTGATGCTGAGACTATTGACTTCCTCACTTGTTGGAACCACTGGGTATCCCAGCTGCTGGTCTTATTCCAGTTGAGCTTAACTAAAGTCTCTAGGAACCAGTTACCTTAGGAGTCAGTTTTTAAATGCTGTTCTGTTTCAGTGTTTTTGTGCCTGGTTTAGTTGACTGCTTAAGTTCAGTTTTAGTTTTACTTTCACTTTGCATTTTTACTGATTTGAAACGTTGCAGAATTCTGATCAGACTTTGTGAAACTGCATCCCTGGAAGAATTGATTGCTTTCAGGACTTGGATTGTAAATGTTGCTACAATTAGTTGAAGGAGTGAATCAGTTCCCCAATTTTCAATCGCCCCTATCTAAAATAAAAATTTATGTTCTCTTTACATAAGGCAGTACCTCTCTAATTATAGTGTAGGTAACCGTTTTCACCAGAAACAATAAGAAACCAACATAGGGTTTTCTTGAGTGAAAGGAAGAGTAGTTTTTGTTACTTTCCAACCCTGCAAAATATTACTAAGATGCAACATCAGACACATGAACTGTGAAATCCCATGAATGCTTTTTCTTTCTTTTGCTCCCTCTTTCTCATGCATGTTCTCCTAAACACTTATTCACCCTCTATTACCCCCCTCTCTCTTTCACTCTTTCTGTCTGTCTGACACTGTCTCTATTGTCCAGTACAATGTACAATTTATAATGCTTATGGTGTCCTGAGGCATAAGGTTTAACCTGACACCATGGTTGGTTAGTTGATTTCTGGAAACCTCAGCAGTATAGAATATTGCAATTTTTCTGTGTTCTCAGCTTTCTGATGTTTCATTCCAATCACCATTGTCAACGTGTACTTTTTCATCTTGAAGAGATAGAGTTCTTGACCTGTGTTCAGTGCTGCATCCTTAGCTTTATGTTTCTCTGCCAAAAACGGCTCCTTCGGAACCAGCTTGTTGCTGGTTTCCATATCTGAGCTAATTGATAGTTCATCTCCATCATGTGAAAATTCTTATAAAAATATAAATCTCGAAACAAATCTGGAAATTATGAAGGTGTGAGAAGGCAGTTGGTTGTGGTGGTTTGGGAAAATGTTAAACGTTTAATGATAGATAGACAATGGCTAGTATTTAAAGAATTTATGCTTGGTCTTCAAAAACACAGACGTTCCTTTTAAGGCAAAAATGCACCACAGGAGAACTGAGATGCTGTGGCAAACCAGGGGAAAAAATAGTATCAGTTCACGGGGGCGGGGATGCTTAAAAAGTTGTCAAAGTTTGGAATTTTTGAGGATGGAGAGAATTAACAAAAGGGGAATAGAATAGCAAGAATAGTAAAAATCGATTGCAAAAATTGTGGAAGTTCATAAAAAGGAAAGGATCACTAAAGGCAAATTTGTGTTTGTTACAGGCAGCAACAAGGGCACTTTTATAAAGGGAAACTGAGAAATGTCACAAAAGCTTGTATGCCTCCTCACAGAGGAAGATACAAGAAACCCTCCTGAAATAATTAAGGTTCAAGGACAGTAAGAATGAGGAACTGAAATTAGTGTCAGTTTAAAAAAAATAGTACTGGAAAAATTAATGTGACTAAAGTTGAGAAATCCTGGGATCTGAATGGCTGACACCAGACTGATTTCTGGGATGGTGTGATTGTTCTGTAATGAGAGATATAGGAGACTATGTTTGTATTCTCTGGCCTTGAGAAGAATGAGGCAAAAAGGTATTGTTGCCGTAGTCTTACTAGATCAAAGGGCTGCTCTTATTAGAGAGACATGACTGGTGGTGGTTTAATTTGAGGGTCACCATGCCTCATGAGGGGAGAAGTTGCAAAGGAAATTCCTTCATCGTAACCTCATGTGGTGCGGGAATTGAACCCAAGTTGTTGGCATGACTTTGTGTCACAAACCAGCCAACTGAGCCACTGCCACTCCTTCCCATGCCACAGTCAACCCCTCCCCTGCCTCCACCGCAACCTCTCCTTATCTGTTGTCTAACACACGTTAACTGCACCTGTATTTGTAAAGACCCATGGCAGTGTGGTATTTTCTAATCTGGTCACCCTGAAGTTACTGAGTACCAATTCAAATGAAGCTACCATCTGCAGCAGGTGAGATTGAAGCACTGCTTTGGCTGGGGCTGTGGTCAGTTATTCATCACCCTCTTATGTCCTAGACTGATGTGGATGCCCTGAAAGTGGACAAAGCTGCAGGAGATCTCCACCATCCCACCACTTCTGGCTCTGTTTCTGTTTCCTGTTACTGGCACACACAGTCTACAACTCATCCCCATGCTAGTAACCTCATGTTCCACTCTCACTGTGTATAAGGCAGCTGCAGAGTCTGGTAATGTCTTGTGTGTGTGTGTATATATAAAGTAAGCCCAGAGACATGTATAGCTAACTCACAGTGCTTCAACTTGATAGTAGCCTTTGTAAAGTGGGAGACTGATATGAGACAAATGTTGCTGGGGAGGTTTAGTTCTTTTTAAAGAAAGTTTCATTTGCTTCATTATATCTTTACGGTTGCAGCAAATGCTGCTTCTGAGCAGACTAGTGCTCTGATTCGTGAGGCTTGCCTCCGTTCTTTTATCTGCTGCCTGCTAAATGACTTCACATGTGCTATAAATGGCTTTTGTTTTTCCAATTGCACTTCCTATGCCTCATTCCCAAAGGCATTTGCTTTCCCCTGGCGTTCAGTGATTCGATCAGACGGGACTTTTTTTTTTCAGCTTTGTCACTAAATTGGTTTTCGTTGTATGTTCTCTGTCCTGTACGTGTGTATGTTTTGTTTTGGGAGGGAATGTTGGGGTTGGGGAAAAGAAATGGTTTTCCTCACTGTCCTTCCTCACTGTTAAATTGAATATCCTATATAAATACACAGTGGAACTTTCACCCTTTTAGGTATGAACAAGTTTCTAGCTGCTTCTTAGTTTAACAAGATGATGTGTTTAATTGAATCCTTGTTGACACAGAAGCTGGATTATTAACACTTTTCCAACTGTACTGCATTGTTAACACTGTTCCAGTTGTATGTTTACAGCTGACGTTTACTGCATTTGATGGAAACTACTGACAGGTCTGAAAATAGGACATTAAATGTCTTTTGATTTTGAGAGACCTATGTCACTTCCACTTGAGGAATTGCAGCTTTTCAAGTCTGTTAGGCTACGTTTACGTTACTTAGCCACTGTCGCATTTACAGTTGATGCTGCTCTGAATTATAAGTAGATCTAATTGAAATTACTTGTGGAATGAGAGTAACAACTTTATAGGCAAACTGGGTACAATCAAGCTGTGATGTTAACTCCATTGGTCAGGGTTTTTTAAAAAGACAGTGTGCAAGTGCCTTACGAACAGGCCTGAGCAATCATATCTTTTAGCTAATTTAGTTAAATCTAAATTTAGCCACAAGAAATATTATGAAAAATGCTTTAAAATGAAATCTGAGAAAAACACTTCAACTGATGAAGTTGTATTTGAGTGTTACTGGTGGTATTCTTGTAAATTGTGTTGTTGCTATGCTCTGCATGGGAGGAGTAAGAGTACAGAGCTGCATCAAAGCTAAAGCTAGCAAATGACTGACTGGATACTGCCTTCCAAAAGTGGTGATCAGAGTGCAGTGACTTCAGGATTTTGCATTGTTACCCACTTCCCTCATTAAGCGGGAACCTGCAACGATTTTAGCATGCTGCAGACATTAGACAGATTGGCTGCTCATCTGAACAGATGGTGTCGGATCCATAGTGGGGTTAGTTGCTTGACAATGAAGAATTTTTATAGTTTAAAAAGCATGTATGCACATACGCTCATGTTTTTTGCATCATGAAGGTAATAATTTGCATTTATGTGGTGCCTTGGCGTGTTTTCAACACTTCCCAAACACTTGACACTTGGTGTTTGAGATTTCTCATTTATAGGTTATGGCAACAAATAAATAAGTTTAAAGAACTCCCCAACAGAATAAAGTGGAATATTTCTCATCCAACTGAGTATGAAAACAGGGATTTAATTTCATGTCTCATCTGCAAAATAGAACCTCCAACATAGCAATATTTGCTCAGCGCTGCACTGAAGTGTCATCTGGAGGTACAGGAAACATAGCCTTCTCACCCCAGTGAGTGTGCTGTTGCTGAGCCAACCTGCCATTAGTAATGAAAAGGTACAATTTATTGAAAAGCCAAGTACTTCTGTTTGCCTTCTAGAATTCTTTTGAGGAAGTAACAAGCAGGGTAGACCAAGGAGAGCCAATGGATGTTATCTACCTAGACTTCAAGAAGGCCTTTGATAAGGTGCCACACAGGAGGCTGCTGAGTAAGATAAAGGCCCACGGTGTTAGAGGCAAGGTGCTAGCATGGATAGCTCGATGAAGGAACTGTGGGCATTGTGGCTAAGTTTGCAGACGATACAAAGATAGGTGGAGGGACAGGTAGTATTGAGGAGGTGGCAAGGCTTCAGAAGGATTTGTACAGGTTGGGAGAGTGGGCAAAAAAGTGGCAGGTGGAGTACAATGTGGGAAAGTGAGGGGTCATGCACTTTGGTAAGAAGAATAAAAGCATGGACTATTTTCTAAATGGGGAGAAAATTCAGAAGTCTAAAGTACAAAGAGATTTGAGAGTTCTAGCCCAGGATTCTCTCAGGGTAAACTTGCAGGTTGAGTCAGTAGTCAGGAAGGCAAATGCAATGTTGGCATTTATTTTGAGAGGACTTGAATATAAAAGCATGGATATACTACTGAGGCTCTAT